CTATGTTTAGAGAACATTTTTGGCCAGCAAACATTTTTATACTTTTTAAAGCCTGAACTTTTGTGTTATGGAAGTGCAGGATGTCCATGTGACATCCAAATGCTAGAAAATGCTGTTGATAGGAAAGGTCTGTACTCAGGTGATTGGGTATGATATAATGTCTTCCATAACATTGTTGCATTGTTTTAGGATTTTGTTCAGAATACCACAGCACTTCTGAAAGCAAGGAGGATTTTTCTTTTAGGAAGTGTGCTGTGATCTGCTCCTGATGTAATTCATATCACAAATAATTCTCCTGTGGATTTAATATTTAACTTCCATTTAATAGATTGAGAAAAGATTTGAATTCACAATCATGTTGACTTTGTGCCAAGCACAGCTTTTTGGGATTGCTCTCTGAGCACTTGCCTGTTTGAAATGTGAATAAAGATTTTAAAAAATGCAGACTTTTTTAACATCTTGTAGTCAGTCATCTGAACGGCTGGCTTGAGATGCATAGTGACGGCAACAGTGTGGGTTCAGTTCCTGCATCAGCTGAAGAACTTCCTTTCTCAACCTTTCCCCTTGCCTGAGATGTGATCACCCTGTGGTTCGATCACCCACCAGTCGTCTCTCTCTACTGAGAGAGCAGCCCTACGGTCTGAGAAGACTATTGTGGCTTTACCTTTACATTGTATGGCACTGCACTTGTTCTTTCAGCTGTGCCATGGACACAGGTGGAATTGAGCATTTACTCCTCATTTCTGGCATAGATTTATAATGTTGATCATGCTGTGGCGGAGAATGGGAAATCTTTCTTGACTTGAGAAAAGTTCAAAGTGCAGATCTTAAGATTTTAAGATTCATATCCTTGTTTTCAAATCCTTCCATGCTTTCCCCTTTTTTCTATCTCTGCAATGTGCTCCATCTCCACAATTTTGAGAAAGCTTTGCTCCTCTATTTTGGATTCTTTAACATATCCAGTTTGACTTGTCCACCATCTGCAGCCAAACCGTCAGGGGCTTAGGCCCCTACCTGTGGAATAGCCTTCTTACACTTCTCTATCTTGCTTACTTCCTTTAGTATACTCCTGAGGGGAGCATGTGGATGAGAAAGAGATGAGAAGTAAAGAATATTTCCTTGGGGGCTCTGGAGGAACTGTATAAGGAGTTAGAAAGAGGAAGAAGAGAAGCCATGGCTGAAGATACTCTTTCATATTCCGGTTTACAGACAAAGTAGTGCTGTAAAGGTGCATAGTGAAGGGAGTTTCTGGATGTGTTGTTATCTGGCATAGGATAAAACGGCAAAGGATGCTGTCATACGATATTTGTAACTTTGATCAGAAATGTTCTAGTGCAGTCACGCAAGTGGATGCCAGATTGGATGGATTGTAAAGGACTTTCTAGGAGGTGCTAAGTTGGGCAGCAACTTCCTTAGAAAAGGAAGGGAGATTAAAGCTAGAACATGGATTGATGGAAAATTTTCAGGAGGAAATGGTAATGCTTTGAAGTTTGGAAGGAAACAGAAACAGAATAGGAAGGAATCATTGATCACGTTCTGTAATAGGAAGTGAGTTGAGTGGTCAGGGAAATCAAGAAATAAATTGAACACAACAGCAACTTCTTATGTTTGTGAATTACTTTCTAAGTACAAAAAACACTCAGTTTGGAACACACAGGAGGGAAGCCAAGGGTGAATAGTGAAGCTGCAAGATGGAAATTCAGGGTTAGAGCAGACGGAAGGTTAGAGACACAAGGACAGTTGCTGGGGAAAAGGTAGAGAAAACAACTGAGGCTTAATCTCAAAGTTTGTGACAAATAGATCCCTTCGTTCCTCTAACCAAAGGAATAAAAGTATTAACTTTGAATCCTATTTTAAGCCCAACAGCCTTTTTTTAAATATTTGAAGGAGTTCTAATAAATGACCAAGCAAGAACTTTTGTCTTAGTGTCAAAGAATTTATCACATATTTCCAAGCATCAAACAGAGTGACACGATCTGATTTCTTGCTGCAAAAAACTGCCTGCAAATGTGGTTTAACTACTTTGGAGGTAAAATTTAACTCAGTTTAGAAATATTGAATATTGTATATTTATGCTGTGATTTTGTTTTCTTAAAATAATTGTTTGCCACCATCACCAATGGCTGCAAATGCTTCTGGTATTTTTACCCCAAATGAATGTGTTGTATTTTATTATGTTGCGAAGCTTTTGGTAAATTATACAGTGAAATAAAAGGAGGTGGATGGTAATCAATTGTAGATAGTAAAATCAGTTTAAATTGCAATTAAAGGAGAAGTGATGTGCATTTTCAGAGTAACTTCTGGAATATAGCAATCCTACCAGCATCTCCATCAACTGAAAACAGACTTATGGCCCATAACTGGTACTCTCTCGCCCTTCTGAACAAAGAACAATACAGCACAGGAACAGGCCCTCCAAGCCTGTGCTGACATATTCTGCCCCACCATATTAAAACTGTCTTCATTTACAGAATCCATATCCCACAACTGCACTTCTTCAAAAAGAAGTTCATTGCCTGAGAAGTTATTTTGGATTGTCCTGGTCTAGTAAATGGGGTAAATCCAAATTTTTATTTATCTCAACTGCTGTACGGATGTTGCTACTGTCCACTTACAGGCTTTGCTGGATGCGGTTTAAAAGGAAAACACAGCAGGTATGTGAGCAATATACAGTTACAGTCTAGACTCCCATAAGAAGTTAAATCACGATTTTTTTTTTATTAATATCGGAGTTATTTAAATGGAAGGCTAAGTTGATACTTCCTCCTGCAAGGAGCTTGACTGGTAAGGTGGGGGAAACTTAGAGCGTTGATCAGTACATGGGAATATGATATTGTTGCAATTGCTGAGGGACGGTTGAAGGAAGGACAGGACTGGCAGCTCAACAGGGTATAGAAGTTTTAGTCGGAATGGGGGAGCGAGGAAGTAAGAGAGGTGGGGTATTGCATTATTGGTAAAGGAAATCATCACAGGAGAAATGAGGGAGGATATAATGGAAGGGTCTTCAATGTGGCCATCTGGGTAGAGCTTGAAATAACAAAGGGGTGATTACCTTGCTGGGATTACAGTACAGGCCTCCCACCAGTGAGATACAGGAGCAGATAGGTAAGCAAATCGAAGGAAGGCGTGAGAAAAGACAGGTAGTTGTAAGGGACTTCAACTACCTTTGTAACATCCAGTCAGATCATCTCAGTGTCAAAGGATCAGACAGGGTGGAATTTTTTAAAGGCAACCTGGAGAGCTTTTCGTGCCACTATGTAGACAGTCCTATTAGAGATGTGGCAGTGCTAGATTTGGTGTTTGTTGGTCGACATAGACATGGTGAGCTGCAGGGCCTGTTCCTATGCTGTTTGACTCAATGACTCTAGGAGTGCTTTCGGAAGTGAATGGGGTACGAGTCAAGTTGGCCACCTTGTCCTGGAAGCTGTCAACATTTGTGTTGTTGGATTTGGACTCATCCAGACAAGTGGGGAGTATTCCATCATATTCCTGACTTCTATCTTGTTGGTGACAGACAGGATTTGGGGAGTCAGGGAATGAGTTGCTTACTACAATTGCCAGCCTCTGACCAATTCCTGAAGCCACAAAATGGCTGAACCTATTCAGTTTCTAACCAACAGTAATAGCTTGACTGCTGATGGTAGGGGAGTTCAGCGACAGTGACATTGTTGATTGCTAACAAAAGATTGTCTGAGATTTTCTTATTGAATATGGACAGTACCTGGTTCTTAAAAAAAAACCAAAAGAACTGCGGATGCTGTATATCAGAAACAAACACAGACATTTCTGGAAATGCTCAGCGGGTCTGGCAGCATCTGTGAAGAAGTCAGAGTTAACATTTTGGGTTCAGTCGACAGCTTCCAGGGACAAAAGTAGTCAGCTTGACTCGTACTCCAATCACTTCCTTAAGCAGAGAGTCATAGAGTGAAACAGTATAGAAACGGGCCCTTCAGCTCACCATGTCTATGCCGACCAAATCTAGCACTGCACCATCTCCAATAGGACCATCTACATATTGTCCGTTCTGAGGAAGGGTCATCGGATTTCTCTTCACTGATACTAAGCTTTCCCACCAATTTCTATGCTTGCCTTGCTCTTGTCTGGTGCAAATGTTACTTGACATTTATCAGCGCAAGAATGATATTATCAAGGTCTTGCTGCCCATGGAAGTGAATTGCTTCATTATTCGAGGAATCATAAAAGGTGCTGAACATTCAACAATGAACATCCCCATCTGTAACCTTACAATGTCAGGAAGATCATCGATGAAGCAGCTGTAGATGGTTAGACCCAGGGCATGAGCAATGCCTTATGGCTGAGATGATGGACTCCTATAACCATAACCATCTTCTACCATGCTAGGTATGACTCCAAACAGCAGGGACGTTTCCTTTTGAATACAATTGTCTTTAGATTAGTTTGGAATCCTTGACAGCACCTTCTTAAATGCTGCTTGAATGGCAAATGCAATCATTCTCACATCATCTCCTGATGCTAGTGCTGTGAGCAAATGCTGCACTGATGCTTTCTGCTCTCCCGGGTTAGCCAGCGTGTCCTGGCCAATATTTACTCCTCAAATCAGCATTTCAAAAACAAACTACCTCTTCATTACCACCCTGCCACTTGTGGGAGCTTGTTGTATGCATCACGGCTGCTGCATTTCCTGTACTTTCATAGCAGCTACACTTCAGAAATGCTTCATTGTTCTAAAACACAATGGAATAACCAGAGATTGTGAAACATGCTATTCGCAAATCTCTCTCTTTCTCCCCACTTGCAATGTCACTCAAAAACAAAACTACCCAAGAATTTCATAGTTTTGGTTCTTGGATCAAAACAAGAGAATTGTTACACTGACAATTTGCTACAAAGATTTCCTCGTTGGTTTTGCACATCTTAGTTTAACTATTAGTCCTCTTCCCTCCCCTGGGCCAGGTTCTGCTGCTAGTGGATGGACTCCTTCATTTGACAGAGCTTTTGTTAGTTGCTGTGAAACTTACCGGAAAACAAAATCCACCCGATCAATTTCAGCCCCGCAACTGCTGTTGACCAAGTTCCCACCGTTGCCTACGACTGCACATTGTTTGTACTGCAGGCTGCGAAAGGACATATTCTACAAAACAAGGGCAAATAAACAATCAAAATTAAGGAAAGGTGGTCCAAGTAAAACAACATCTGATGGTTAAATAGCTCCTTTAATGTGCAAGAAATCCTGAAGCAATTCACAGATATACATCAAATGGGAAAACACCTGGGAAATGAATCTCAATGCAGAGAAATGTGAGGTAATGCATTTTGGTTGAAGAAACACAGAGACAATACTAGCTTGATGGTACAAGTTTGAGGGGAATACAGAAGCAGAGGGACCCTAGATGGTCAGGCATGTTGAAAGAATTGCAAAGAAGTCTTATGGGACCTTTGAGTTTATAAATACGTGCACAGAGTATAAAAGCAAGGAAGTGATGCCACATCTCTACAAATCATTGGTCAAACCACAGTTGGAGTATTGTGTTCGGTTCTGGGCTTCTTATTTAATGAAGCCCTGCAGAGAGTTCAAAGGAGATTTTTTTTTCTATCCATTTGTGGGACATGGGCATCGCTACTTGGCCAGCATTTCTTGCCCATCCCTAGTTCCACTTGAGAAGGTGGTGGTGAGATGCCTTCTTGAACCACTGCAGTTCTCCTGCTGTAGGTTGACCCACAATGCTATTAGGGAGGGATTTCCAGGATTTTTGACCCAGTGACAGTGAAGGAAAAGTGATATATTTCCAAGTCAGGATGGTGAGTGGCTTGGAAGGGAACTTGGACATGGTGGTGTTCCCATGTATCTGCTGTCCTCATCCTTCTAGATGGAAGTGGTCGTAGGTTTGGAAGCTGCTGTCTGAGGATCTTTGGTGAATTCCTGCAGTGCATCTTGCAGATAGTACACACTGCTGCTACGGAGCGTCGGTGGTGGAGGGAGTGGATGCTTGTGGATGTGGTGTCAATCAAGCGGGCTGCTTTGTCTTGGGTGGTGTCAAACTGCTTGAGTGTTTTTGGGGCTGCACACACGCAGGCAAGTGGGGAGTATTCCCTCACACTCCTGACTTGTGCCTTGTAGATGGTGGAGAGGCTTTGAGGAATCGAGATGAGTTACTCACCACAGTATTCCTAGTTCCTGACCTACTCTAGTAGCCACTGTGTTTATGTGGTGAGTCCAGTTGAGTCTCTGGTCAATGATAACACCCAGGATGTTGATAGTGGGGGATTCAGTGATGGTAGCATCATTGAATGTCAAGTGATGGTGTTAGATTGTCTCTTGTGTGAAAGTCACTTGCCACTTGTCAGCCCAAGCCTGGATATTGTCCAGATCTTGTTGCATTTGAACATGGATTGCTTCAGTATCTGAGGAGTCACGAATGGTGCTGAACATTGTGCAATCATCGGTGAACATCCCCACTTCTGACCTTATGATAGAAAGAAGGTCATTGATGAAGCAGCTGAAAATGGTTGGACCCGGGGCATTACCTTGAGGAACACCTACAGAGATGTCCTGGAGCTGAGATAATTGACCTCCAACAACCACGACCATCTTCCTATGTGTCAGGCTCCAACCACGGAGCGTTTGCCCCCTGATACCCACTGATTCCAATTTTGCTAGGGCTCCTTGATGTCACATTCTGTCAAATGCAGCCTTGATGTCAAGGGTTGTCACTCTCACCTCACCTCTGAAATTCAGCTCTTTTGTTCATGTTTGAACCAAGGCTGTAATGAGATCAGGAGGCGAGTGGCCCTGGCAGAACCCAAACTGGGCATCACTGAGCAGGTTATTTCTGAGCAGGTGCTGCTTGATAGCACTGTTGCTGACACCTTCCATCACTTTACTGATGATCGAGAGGAGACTGATGGGGCGGTAATTGGCCGGGTTGGATTTGTCCTGCTTTTTGTGTACAGGACATACTTGGGCAATTTTCCATATTGTCAGGTAGATACCAGTATTGTAACTGTATGAGAAGAGATTGGCTAGGAGAGCAGCAAGTTCTGGAGCACAAGTCTTCAGTACTATTGCCGGAATGTTGTCAGGACCTGTAGCCTTTGCAATATCCAGTGTCTCCAACCATTTCTTGATATCACGTGGAGTGAATCGAATTGGCTGAAGACTGGTATCTGTAATGCTGGGGACCACTGGAGGAGGCCAAGATGGGTCATCCACTGGCACTTCTGGCTGAAGATTGCTGTGAAAGCTTCAGCCTTATCTTTTGCACAGATGTGCTGGGCTCTTCCATCATTGAGGGTGGGGATATTTGTGAAGCCTCCTCCTCCAGTGAGTTGTTTAATTGTCCACCACCATTCACGGTTGGATGGGGCAGGACTGCAGGCCTTAGATCTGATCCATTGGTTGTGGGATCGCTTAGCTTTATCACTTGCTGCTTTCGCTGTTTGGCATGCAAGCAGTCCTGTTTGCTGGCTTCACCAGGTTGACACGTCATCTTCAGGTATGCCCAGTGCTGCTTCTGGAAAACCCTTCTGCACTCACCATTGAACCAGGGTTGATCCCCTGGCTTGATGGTAATGGTTGAGTGGGGGATATGCCGCGGCCATGAGGTTATAGATTGTGCTGGAGTACAATTCTGCTGCTGTTGATGGCCCACAGCACCTTGTGGATGCCCAGTCTAGAGTTGCTAGATCTGTGCGAAGTGTGTTCCATTTACTAGAATGGTACCAGAATGAAGGATGTTAGATACAGGGAAAGATTAGAGAGATTTGGCTTGCTCTTCTTATAGCAGAGAAAATCAAGAGGAGGTGACCTTATTGATGTGTTCAAAATTATGGACAATTATGACAAGGTCAAGAAAAATATTCCATTTCTACTAGTTGGTATGTGAGTAACTAGGGATCATATTTTCAAGCTTGTCAGAAAGAGAGCTCAGAGTGAGTTGGGGAGAAACTTCTTTGTTACGATTTGGAATGCGCTGCCTGGGAGAGTGGTGGAGGCAGATTCCATAAGTGGTTTCAAAAGAGAGAGCAGCATATACATTTTAAAGTGATGAAAGTAGAGGGCTACGGAGATAGGGCTGGAGCTTGGGACCAGCTGAGTAGCTTTTTCGGGACTGGTACAGACACGATGGGTCAAGTGGCCTCCTCCTGCACTGTAAGATTTTACAATTCCATGTATTGTTGGAACACTGACCAATTTTTCTGTTTTTATCGTTATTAGTTTGGAGCTGTGAACTGAGCTGGAAACTGAACGTTACTTTTGGGCTGTGAGCTTTTAAAAGAAAACAAACTGATATTTGCATTTCCAAAAGGCCTTTGATAAGATGCTGCACAGTGCAGTGATTGTAACGAGGTCAGCCAGGTGGACCTCATAGAATTGGAGTTCCTTGATTGGACCAGGTTAACAGCCCTAATCAGGGAGTCCTGGCTGACAGATATAAACAGGAGTGTCACAGGTTTGCTCAGTCTGGGAATTGGCTCTGAGCTAGCTGGGCATGCACCATGCACCATGCACCATGCACCATGCACCATGCACCATGC